CCTGGTCTACTGATTTTGTGTTTCCCGCAGAGACGAGGCCTTTACCCACCTCCTCCAGGTGAGAGCGACATCATCGGCCTGGAGGTGGCCGGTACCGTGGATTCTCTGGGTCCAGGAGTAAAAACAAACTGGAAACCAGACGAGCGGGTCATGGCTTTGCTCAGTGGAGGAGGATATGCAGAATATGTTGCTGTGCCTGAGGAGCTTCTCATGCCTGTTCCCTCTAATCTCACACTCTGCCAGGCTGCAGCCGTCCCAGAGGCCTGGCTCACTGCTTTTCAGCTGCTGGATTTTATAGGTACAGCAAGCATCTGTTTGTTTTTGTAAGCAAACCATCTGAAAAAATACTATCCAAATTACTATCCAAATTGCACTGTGGCCAAATGCAATGATCCAAATCACAGCAGCTGCAAAAATGAATAAATATGGTACACTGTACGGTTAGAAATGAAACATGACTCATTCTCTGGACATGTGGCAGCAGGATTAGACAGCCAAACGTTTACGTTTTTTTCATTGGAAAAGAAATTACAAATAATGATTTGCACCAAAATCTTTGCTAATATTGCAATGCCTGTCAAAAATATTGGCAATATGAAACCATGAACACAAAAAAGCAGCATATTCTTAATACTTTACAGAAAATGAATAAACATACAGTAATAAAGGTGTGCTCATTTGGTTATTTGCTACAAACAAACAAATTTTTTCATATTTTAATAATGTATATATTGCTATATACTATTATTATTTAATTTAATGAAATTTGTTTTATTTTATCGTTCTTAAATTTTTGTTACTGATTTATTCTAATATAAAATAATCATTGATGTGAAGCAGGTTTAACTTTTAGTAAGTGGTACTGGTTATGTCCATCTATATATAATAAACCCATATATAAATGTAAAAGGGTTCACTATTCAAGCTTATCAGAATAATCTATGTTTTCTTATTTATTCAATCAAAAAATAAAACAAATGCATAAAAACTATCTCAAATATAATTCAGATAAATGTTAGCTGAAATGGGACTCTTTTCCTCAAATTTCTAACTCTTTTTTAAAAAAAAAACAATTAGAGGATTTTCTATAAGCAACAGTAGGAGGTTTAAAAAAAACAAACAAACATCACCAACATTAAATTATTAAAACTGAAAAAAAAAAAGAGCGAGATAGAAAATGAATTGACACCTGTTTCTTGTCTCCGTCCGTCGTCTCTCCACCTCAGCTCAGGTGAAGGAGGGTGAGGTGGTTCTGGTCCATGCTGGAGGCAGCGGAGTCGGAACCGCCGCCGTCCAGCTGGTTCGTCTGTTTGGTGCCGTTCCTGTCGTCACCGCAGGAAGCCCAGAAAAACTCAAGATGGCCGAGAAACTGGGCGCAGCAGCTGGATTCAACTACAAAGAGGGGAGCTTTGCAAAGGGAGTTCATGACTTCACGGGAGGTGAGCTGAGCAGACGGAACACAGGGTGGTATCAGTCATCACGTCAACGTATTTGCATTCTTCTATTGCAGTGATCAATTGAACAATGTGTTGGTATTATACAGGCTTTAACTGGGATTTAGGTGTCTGTGCCACCGGAATTGCAATCACTACTCACAGCTCCGTGGTTCCTCTAATTGTTTCAAGCTAATGAAAATGTGAATCCCTTCATATACACTACAAAGACATGCTTAAAACATTGAAACAGTAAATTAGACTTACTGATGGTTTAAAACTTTAATTTTCTTGCTGTCAACAAACCTGATAAGAATGTATTTCAGTCCGTGTCTCACCTCTGTGGCCCATTGGGTTCGACTAAAGAAGTAAATCTTTTTGGAAGTTTCAGGCTAAATAATTTCCTAAACAACAGGACACTTTAATTTCTTGGTATTGCAACATACACATTTTTATTCTGTGTGTTGGAGTCCATTTTGAGCCGAGGATTAATACACATTTGGTGTTTTTCAGCTGCAGGATTATTTATGTGATGCCCTCAAAATAAACTGTTCAAATCAGTCGTTTAACGCAAAAGGCTCACGGAGAAAATTTTAAAAATAAGCTGTGTGGTACAGAGAGAAGGGAAAACAAGGCTGATAATAATTGTGTATTCCATCAATTCGATCACCACGTGTATCCTTGTATTTGTTGTAAAAACATGCAGGAATTATATATTGTTGTTGCGCGCAATGGATATTTTTCACGATAGAATGCACTTCATTTAATTTTGTTTATTTGTTTGCTTTATTTGCTTTTACTCTTTATTTCCTGATTTATTTTATATATTTACTATGACCAATGATTAATTGTGGTTTTACCCTCTATTTTTTTGTATTTCATTTGTTCATTTTCCTTCATTGGATATGGCATTTTTGGTGCTTCTATTATTTTATCTGATTTATTTTGTAAATCTTTTCCCATGTTTGACTCTTTTTCTCCACTTTTGCGTCTCTGGTCTGGTTTCTCCTTCTGCTTGGCCTGACCAGCCTTCTGTCCTGCCTGTAAAGCACTTTGTAAGCTCTGTTTTTAAAATGTGCTGTGTAAATAAAGGTATCATCATTATTGTTATGTGTTTTAGTGATGGCTGCCTTCTCCTTAGGTAATGTGCTGCCTTTTGCTCATGCTGGTTCATGGTCATGTTTCCACTTGTAACTGAGGCTTAGCTAATTCCACCTGCTCTTTGTCCTTTTAGGTCAAATTATCTGCTGTGAAAAACTATTCAGCTGTATAATAATAGCTGTAATTTAACAGGTAAAGGAGCCAACGTCATCCTCGATTGCATCGGCGGCTGCAACTGGGAGCAGAACGTGAGCTGTTTGGCGGTGGACGGCCGGTGGGTTCTGTACGGCACCATGGGAGGCAGATCGGTGGACGGGGACCTGCTGGGTAAGCTGCTCTCCAAACGAGGCCACTTGCTCAGCAGCCTCCTCCGCTCTCGCAGCCTTCAGGTGAGAAATGAGCCCCAGAAGTCACACACCAGCTGTGTGTCTTCGTCTCTGCATATGAACATGCTGACTCATGTCAAGAGGATATTTAACACTTTCACCCTTTGGTGTTTTCTCTGTGTCTAATGTTCCATAATGAGGCCATTTACAAGTTCGTTTTGACGCACGTCTTGTATTTACATGTCTGGAACTGGGGCCGATTGTGTGTTTTCTCTTTTGCAGTACAAAGCGAACCTGGTGAAGGCTTTTTCACGCAGAGTTTTACCACATTTCTCAGATCAGTCTGCCTCCTTGAAGCCAGTGATTGACAGCACTTTCAGCCTGGAGGACATTGCAGAAGCTCATAGACACATGGAAGCCAACAGGAACATGGGAAAGATTGTTGTTAATGTGATTCCACAGAAGCAGGAAACTCAGTGATGATTTATGAATCTATTAGTCTTGTACATATGCATTATCCACCAATAAAATGGTCCAAATATAATCCTTTTTCCATTGTACTTTCTTTAATAATGAGGATTACCTAATGCTAAATGTTATCATCTGTTCATGCTGGAGGCTGCAGCAAAGACACAGTCATTATTTTATTCTAGTATATATGTTGCAAAACATTACAAGAAGCTGTGGTAAAAACACCTATTAGGGTGGATAAGGAAAAAAATCCCAATGCTTCCATAATTTGATAAATTAAGGCCTTTAGTTAACTCCAATTCTACAAATAGCTTGTGAGATAGTGCCTGTCGAGGAAACGGTGTTCAGTGGAGGTGATCAAGCTGCAGTTCATTAGCATGAATGCAGTTCAATAAATATGTGATGGATGTTGCTGTGAGAGGCCAAGGAGATCAGAGGAGGAGTGTAGGAGGGACAGTACACACTAACCTGAGACAAGAGACCAGCAGATGTCTGGAAATTTGTAGAAAAAGGAATCTGTTCTCTACTTTTGTAGGATCCAACAGAGTCCAGTTTAACCAGCATTATCCAGGCATGCTCCTGAGATCAGCTCGCTGTTAGTAGTTTAGTACTGCTCAGGAAAATCCAGTTTATCCAGCTGGTTCTTAGAACAAAATCCTCCTTTTGTGTTACATATTTTTATAAAGCCAAGATGTCCAGAAACATGGAAGATATCTCCTCTTTTTCCAACTCTCACTCACCACTCTGTTCTCCTCCATGTGGCCTTTGGTACTTTTTTCAGCTCACAGGTGTTTCTGATTATCTCCTCCCATCCTTCCCTGTGCAGGTGAATAAAAGAATGAATGAATAAACAAGTAAATAAATAAATAAATTCTTTTTTTTTTTGTAATTAACTTTTTAGCTTAGTTTTATTGGCACGAAAGTCATGTGGACAATTATGCCACAGCATCAGAGAAATTCTGATAATTATATGACACAGCAATCAAAACACAATAATCAACTGAATTATTAGATTATATACTTTCAATCAGAAAAGTAAGAGAATGCACGAAAAGATGGATTCTGTGATTATTTTGTACCTCTTTTATCCTCTCTTTATTTCATGGTTTTATGCTCCTTTTTCCTTTTACTCCATTTCTCTTGCTTTAATTCTGTTTTCTTTTGTTTTCATTTTATTTCTTTAATGTGTAATGGCACTTTCGGTGGTTTTGTAGTTTTAGTTGTATCAGTTGGTGTGTTTTGAGTTTATTTACATTGAAATGAGCAATTCAAGGAATTTAAAAATTCAGTATATTGAAATCATCATTTCAGTGTTTTAACATGTTGAACTCCATTTTTCAGATTTTTCTTTTCCCAGTTTCATTTTTTGAATTTAATTATATTTAATTTAAAATTTATTTTTTTAAATTTTAATTATTATTATTTGTTGATTTATTTATTTACCCATGATCCCTTGCGCTCTCACACTTCCGGGTGCACTGCCGCGGCGGCTCTGAACTCAGACCTCTTATCTCCGGGTCATGAGGCGATCACCGTAAAGTTACGAAAACCGTGTGACACCTTTTCTAAATGGAATAAACTTCAAGGCAGTCACCGGAAAACTTTCGGACTCTATGATTCGACGGAAAACGACGGTTTTAACTTGTCCGGTACGTCAGTTTCAACTTTGTGCTGAAGTTCTCCGCGTTAGTTTGACTCAAGTTAACCTCGAAGGTTTCCACACGTTACATGTGAACCTGCGTCTTAACGAGCTTGAACCACAGTGATACCACCCGGTCTGCTGGGGCTGTCAGGACGTCCAGCCCTTCTGTAACTTCATGTTTTCTCTTTTATTTGCTTCCTTGTTGAACTCGTGAGCCGTTATAAAGTCATTCCTCCAGTCAGTCCGCGCCGCATGTACCAGGAAATGATTGTTGCTGTTTGTGGTGTTTTGTGTCTCAGCCGCCGCCGCAGCCTCAAACATGGAGGATCCAGAAAGAGCTCAGAGGAGGCTGTCAAGAGCAGGAGACAGTTTGTACAAGACCCTGGGCCTGGAGAAAGGAGCATCTCCGGACGAAATAAAAAGGGCGTACAGGTGTGTTGGTGCCTTCCAGTTCAGAGATGCAATACGTTTTTTTTCTCATTGATTTATTCAGCATCCAGTCAAAATGTTAGAAAATAGACACAAAATACATGGTGCCCTATTTGTTATATATAAAGCAATCTGACTTCAGTTTCTTCAGTTTAAGAACCACAACAATCTGCACCCTGTATAAGTAACTACTTACCCAACGACTTACTGCAACCCTGACTATGAATATCTATGCATTAGGGGTTGACCTGTTATTGGTTTGGATGATTATCACATCAAATATTCAGCATCTTTCCAATTATCGCTACTGTTTTTTTTTTTACAAAGTGACATTAATGTAAAAATATGCGGTTTGGCTCTGATTCAGCTGCCTCTCTGTATCTATAATCAACACACTGCCCTGCCCACAGCATTATCTGATTGGTCACACATCACCAGGACTGAAGGACAAATTTTGGAAAGTTCCCTTTTAAAGATCCCATACTGTGCCCCTTTTCAGCAAATTCGTCTCATGTATCCTTCAATTTTTCACCTGAAAATAGAATACAGATGATTTATTTCACTACAGTCTGACTCACAGGATGTAGGAGTTTGGTATAAGTCCGCGATTGGCTGATTAACTCTGTCCTACATAAACAACAACAAGCTCTGGGCCACAAGCTACCACACAGAAATGAAAACCGAAACTGTACGTTTTGCTGACGGTTTGGATCGTGCAGTCAGGCAGCTCTGCTAGTTTTATTTTTGTCGGCAGATTATCCATTTTGATCACAGTTCTCGTCTCCTATCTTGCAAGTGAATGCCAAAGCCGCATCCTTTTCTCAGCTCTGCCAATGATGGCTGTGATTGATTTAAAGAAATACAAACAAGCCAGACCATTTTTTCCCTCTATAGCAGAAAGGTAGAGGGTGCAGCTGGACCACTGTGATCTACAGTATGGGCTGGTTTTACTCCTGATCTAAACAGACAGTCTCAGTGTCTGAAGCTTTAAGTGCACCTGAGCTGCTGCTTCAGGAAGAAGACTCTCTCTGCGTCTGTGATTGACAGCACAGAGCAGAACGGAGTCAGCTGTAACTGATGTGAAAGAGTGTGTGAGACCAGGACTTTCTATCACTTCTGACTTCCTCTCTGAGCGATGATTTGACATGGAAATGACACATAATTTATACCACAGACACTATTTTTAACTTGTGTGTTTGGTGAGTTTGTCAGACAACGTTGTAGTTATGAAATTAGTTGATTAGTGGTTCAGACCTGCAGTTGGAAATGGCTATGAAGTGACTGTTGCTGAACATGTTGTCTTAATGAAATGCATTTAAGTCACTACTACATACTCCTCATGCTTTGCCGTTTGAACATGCAGTCACTGTAAATCAAATTGTTAGCCATATTAGCAGCACAACATGCTAATACTAAAGGTTTTCCTGATGTTCTCGTGACATTGCCATTAAAAACAAAAGTAATCGAATAAGTGTTCAATCATCAGATTCCACAGAGAGTGCACGAAGACTTTTGTTTTCACTTCTGCAGCCAAAAACGGAACATTTGGTGTAGTTTTATTTGTGGCTGAGAATTTAGCAGTCAGCAGCTTTAAAAAGTTAATAAATAAGCTACAGAGAGAAGTTCAAACTCAATGTGCTTCCAGATTCTACGTAGTTGTCGAACCAAATTGTCGAGCACAGATCCTGACGTCAGACAGGTGTCCAGGGAAGAAGGTTTCTACAACTACAGTTCTGATGGAGTATTCTGGCTCCTTAAAGGCCAAAAAAGAGCTAAATTTAAGTGCATTCAGTTGCTAAAATTATTGAATTAATAACAAACGAGTTGAATAACAGAAAGGGATCTGAATTTCACTCTCGCTCACTTCTTCCCCAGAAAACTGGCATTAAGGCACCATCCCGACAAGAACCCAGACAACCCCGAAGCTGCTGAGAAATTCAAAGAGATCAACAACGCCAACGCCATCCTCAGCGATGAGAACAAGCGTAAAATCTACGACGAATATGGCTCCATGGGCCTCTACGTGGCCGAGCAGTTTGGGGAAGAGAGCGTCAAATATTATTTCCTTGTGTCCAAATGCTGGTTCAAGGTAAGCAGCGCGGGATGTTGTCTTAAAAGTGCAAACCAGTAAATATCTTCATACAAATGTGTTTTAATTGTGTAGTAATTGTTTGTCCAGGTGTGGATTTGAACTTGAAGTTATATTAAATTGTGTCAAATATCCTGACATTTATTTCCTGCAGGGCCTTATGTTCTGCTGCACTCTTGTCACCTGCTGTTGCTGTTGCTGCTGCTGCTGCTTCTGCTGTGGGAAATGCAAAGCTGAAGAAGAAGACAATTTCGCCTACATGGATCCTGAAGACCTGGAGGCACAAATCAGAGAACAGGAAGCAGGTAAAGGACTTCGCTGTTAACTCGCCTTTACAGTAGAGGACGGGAGTCTTCTGCTCTCATAATAAACAGCAAAGCGTCTATAAAATCACGGTACAGTTGAAATTAAATGAAACCTGCAGTGTTTCTAATGGCCAGCAGGGGGCGACTTCTCTGGTTGCAAAAAGACGTCCGATTGCATAAAAGTATTAGAAAATTACTCAACTTCTCACTTGATTTGTTACCTCAGTAAGCATTTTCTTAATGAGTTAATGGATTCAGTTGGCAAATAAATATGGTGTTGATTTTTCACCACAAAGGTCACCACAAAGTATGCAGGTATTTGTACATTTTAATAAAAATCAAGCATATAAGCAGCTTAACACCACACTTAGAACATGACTGAACAATTTGGGGAAAATATCTGATTGGGATTTATGTCAAAGATAGTGAGATTTAATTTGTGATATGATTAATTTTTAATGCACTGTGTAGTAGATTCATAACGTGATGGAGAATTGCTACGTGAGATAACAGGCCAGAGGTAGTCACAGAGTACAGCATCTGGAAAACAGCAATGCTTCAAGATATGGGCCTTAGTGGGCAATAAAACCAAACAGACAGAACTGCAGGTAACAAACTGTTATTGATCTCATTCAGTCAATCTGGTAATAAACAGAGGAGCATCATAGCGTCAACTGATACTCAAATGTCATCACTCCTATTTCTAATGTACATATTCAGTTATACTCATCATTATTGGTGAAGAAGCCTAGTTATGAAAGACAGGTTCCCTGCTATCACATGCTGTTAATAAATAACCTTTAATGTGTATTGATTGAGTGTCTTGATTAACAATAATCAGTATCAACACTAGCCCTTAAAAAAACAAAGAAAAAACAAACAAATGAGTTGATCCCTGGTTAAAGCCTGACTCACATGTGCAGAAGGTTGTATATCCTGTATTGCAGTCTTTGTGATTTCGTAATTGCACTGTTTCTAATTACAGTTTCATTGTGAAATTAATTGTTTGTTCAGCCCATAGTGGATATAAAGGTTGACATGGGACAGGGAACATTTCAAAACAGGGTTTAGTTGCCAAGCTCTAGGCTGTTGAAGGAACAGTTTGAGATTTTGGAAAATAAGTTTCTTGGTTTGTGTTTGTAATATGCAGCTGGTGGTTAGCTTAGCTTAGCATAAAGACTAGAAAAAGGAGAGAACAGCTACTCTGGTTCTGTTCAAAAGTAACATTTCTGTTGCTACTGCTGCTGGTGGACAGAGTTTGTTGACTTTAGACAGAGGCAGGGTTGCTGTTTACAGTCTTCATGCTAAACTGAGCCACTTGCAGCAGCTTTGTGTTTACTGTACAGATCTAAGCCTTGGCTAGAAAATGTCAAACTGTTCCTTGAAATCTTGGTTTGTGTACTCGCTGACATGTCACACTCTGAAGACTGCCCGATTTCTACATTTCAAGCGGAGACAAAAGCAACCGATTCTGTCAGGACGCAGTGTGGGCTTTTCTCAGTGTTGAATTGTGTTTTCCAGCTGGAGACCCTGTAATAGTTATTCAGCCGAGCTCTAGCGATGCAGCTGATGCTAAAGGTAAAGTTCTCCCCTCTTCAGGTAACGTTGCTGCGCTCACTGCTGCTGAAGTCGCTTCGGTAGATCTCACAGAAGTTTATTTACACGAGTTAATGTTTTAGCAGAACACTGTGGACTGTGTTGTCACCAAATAACACACTAACAATATTTCAGTGTAATAATACCTGAACACAGGGCTTAAAGAATGCAGGGAAATCACACAGGGTGATATGTTTTATGACACATCATTTAACCTTCTGAACCCTGAGCACTTTGTGGGCGTGTTTTAACTCACTGTGAGCTCATTTTTTATTTCAATACAAACATATGTTACCAATACAGGAGAAAATGTGACTCTACCTTCTATAGATGTTTTACTGTTTACATTTTTAGTTTGTTTTCATACTCTTCTGTTTGCTTTGTGTAAACACAGCCTGCAGTTCAGTTCTTAAACGTTCCTGAATTGTTAGCACGTGGTTGTTGATCGCAACTGAGTTCAACATTTTTACCAAATGTGGTTACTGCACATGGTTTATTTTTGGGACAGTTTTGAACAGGGCACGTAGAATAACAAGATTTAGATGAAATATCATGAGTTTAAGATTAAATTATGTTTTCTAGATAAAACCAAAAGTCACACTAGTTTCAGGAAGAGCTGTCAGATTTTTGATTCTTGCTTTTTCCTGTGATGATAAACGGTGTCATTTAGCGCCTTTAAAACCCGCCGGCAGGTTTTAGGGTTCAGAGGGTTTATGTGTCAAACATGATCAGTTCTGGAGAAAATAAGCAGCGCTGGTGCTAACACGCTAAACCTAAACCTCAAGAACAGCGGTTCTCTGTCTCCAGGACTGTATTTATCTCACACAGTATTCTCAATTTGGGATGCTAGTTGTCAACTTTTTAGTTCTTAACCATATTAACACACTGTTCTCAAGCTCACGAGTCAAATGTTGGAGAACCGCTGATCTTGAGTGTCTCTGTGGAAGCTTTAATCATGAACTCTAATCACTGTAGTGTTGCTTACAGGCTTGTTGTGCTGCTTGTTGTCCATCCTAAGCTGCTGTTCTCTTGCGGCAATCACTCTGTTCTTCTGCTCCTTTTGTTTTTTTGTTTTGATTTGTTGTGTTTTGACCAGCAATGTACATGTACAGAGCAGGATACAGAACTCAAAAAACAAGAGAAATACTGAATTAGTTGATCATCTCTGAGGGAATAGCCACCGTGGCGCAATAATAAATCATGTATTCACATTAAACAGGCACAGGCTTGAACTAAATGCATTTTTTTTTGAGTATATGAGCGACTCCCACATTTTAAAATTAGGTCTCAAGGCAAAATCAGATAAATTACAGGAGCTCTGGGAAACATTTGAAGTATTGCAGAGCATGTTGTGCACAGTGGGGTAAATGTACTCACTGGAAAAATGAAGAAGTTTGTTTGTGCACAGTAATGGGAGAGAAAAGTGAAGTGGTAAAGAGACTCCTACATGTGTCAGAGGCTAAATAACAAATCCACATCACCTTCTTATAAGTACTTAGATACAGAGCATGTATCTGGCACATTTCTAAATGTCTGTTTTACTTCAACAGAAAACGAGTCATCCCAACAGCAGGGACAGCACTGGTTTGTTTGGCACAAATATCTGTTTGATTGACTGTCATGACAATTTGAACATTAAAGCTCCCCAGTTGATGGTTTTATAGTAATTATTGCCTGGTTTTGACTCTCTAGCCCCCGTGAGGTTGTAGCTTCAGGCGAAATATCCCAGCAGCAACTGAACTCAGTCCAGACATTGACCTTTCTCTCACTGCAAAACCTTTTACTTGCTATCTAGCACCATCATCAGGTCTAATATTTAAAGTCAGCATGCTAAGACGATGACTCTGATGGTGAACTTGGTAAATATTAAAAGTGCCTGTCAGCGTGGTGATGGACAGTCAACACGGTCGCTTTCTCTGTGAATTTTATGTCAGAATTTGCAAAATAAAAGAAGAGGTCCTGACAAAGAACAACTAGAACTTTTCTCTCCCTCTGCAGCTGTCCTGTAAAAATGACCTGTTTGGAAAAAGGAAGTGAGAGATAAACTGTGCATTTGTTAACGTTTATTGCTTTAGAAAATGTCAGA